ATATGTATGTATACAATATATATATATATATACACATTATATACATGTATATGTGCAATTGTACATATGTGTGCATACATAACTATGTAAAAGGTACATATATTTCCAGTGTCTAAGGGCGAAAACATGACTGAACGAGCAAGGATGCGCAAGGATGCGCGGGCTTCTGCCTTCCTTGACGCGGTACAAGCTCTGCTCCAGTCAGACATCTATGGGACTTCCTGTAGTAATTGAATTACCATCAGGTACGAATGGCAGAAATAGACGAAGCCCGGAAAACAAAATCTAAGCTGAAGGACATGAGAAAACCCGACACAAGACCAGTTTCCCATGCCCTGGATGGGCAAATGCAAGAACAACTGTTACCTTTGTTCTTTACATGGTTTCTGTTAGTGACTGTCAGTGGCTCGGACCCCACCTGCATTTTGGCATCTGATGCTCCGTTGATCCCCAAACCTCAAATGCCAACACCACCAAGCTAACTACAATCTGCAAAAAAAGCGACAACCCTTGTACACTAGAATACTCATACCCAATACACCCAAAAAAAAACAAGAAGGCAACGTCCTTTCCACAGCCCAACATCGACAGCAGTTCTCTCCCTCGAGCTACCTCGGGAAGGGTTTGTACTGCAAGAATTTATCATGAGGGTTGCTACCAGAGGGTTTGGGGTCTTAGGGTGTCCAGGGCTACTACGGGGTCACTGTAGAGCTCTAACCCTAAACCCTAAACCCTAAACCACTTCGAGGGATTCGGGCTGAAGGTTCAGAGGCTGGGGTCTCGCTGTGGAGTGGGTTGCGGGGGGTCGGGAGTCTAGGAGTTTAGGAGTCTTAGGGGTTTAGAGTTTCGGGTTCGAAAAAGAGTTTAGGGTCGAGGGTTTGGGATCAAAGCTTGAGGATTTTGGGTTGAAGGGGGGTTAGAAGTTCGGAATCTGAGAGCCCAGTAGAGGTTCTACGGTGGTTGGGGTTACCGCTGCAAAAAGGGTTCCGGGTGCAGGACTGTAGAGTTGAAATTCTCAGGCTGTACGATTTTTTTAGGGTTTCGGAGCCACCTTAAAAACTTACAAGCCGTCTAAGCCCCATAACAAAAAATCTCCTTAAAAAAACACGAAACGGCCAACCTTGGCGCTTGAACAGTTTATGGCCTCATACAAACTTCATAGTCATAGTAGACCTGATCATGTGATGCCCCGTCTAGCAAACCCTTTAAAACACTAAACCCTGTCGGCCCTATCGTAACCCTGACTAACAGCACAATATATGATAACCGTAAGCCTTTAACACTAATTACACCCTACAGCAACCCTTCCAGCAACCCGTATGACAATCCGAAACCCTAAACCTCAACCCTAAACCCTAAAGCCTGAACACTAAACCCTAAACCCTGAATCCTAAAGCCCAAACCCTGAACCCAACCCCAAATCCTACACCCTAAACCCCTAACCCTAAACCCTATAGTAAGCTCTGAGAACTGAAGATGCCAGTGCTCGGCCTGGACCTTCGGCGGAAGGTCGACGAGCTCGGACGGCGCTATGGCTGCCTGGCAAAAAGGGTTGGGGTGTCAGGGTTCTTTTTCTGGGGGGTTCATGGCTTTATGGGTTCAGGGTTTAGGGTTTAGGGCCTTTTTTTGGGGGGGGTTGGGGTTGAGGGGTTTATGGCTTTATGGGGTTGGGGAGGGGCTTAAGAGTTTAGCGGTTTCGCGGTTTAGGGGTTTAGGGTATAGAGCTTAGGGCTTTTGGAGCTTCGAGAAAGGATGTGGAGAGAATAAGTGTTTCTTGCAGATCGGGGGCTCGCCTCCGCGCCGGCGAGGGCAGCCCAGCGACACTGCTCTTGCGCGTCATCCCCTTAGGCAGCTCGGGGTTTGGAGGCTCCGGATTGACTAGTAATACACATATATTTGAATATACATGTTTGCGTCCTCGGATGGCGTGGAGATTTAGGATTTAGAGGTAGTCCTTGTTTTGGGTTTAGGGTTTGGGGTCATCGGTCAGGTTTTGCGGCTTAAGGTGAGGTAAAGTTGGAGAAATCATGAGCAGTGATAGAGATTTAGGACGAGAAACTGGCAACCGTACAGGCGGGACGAAGAACAAGACTTCGAGCTTCTAGGTGCGCTCGAGGTGCCTGAAAAAGTAGATAGACACACTCCAAACAAGAGGATCTCTGATATGAGGAACGTCTGACAAGAACAGCTAGTCTTGTGAAACGCTCCCATCAACCCGAAACTTGAACCACGAAGAGAACACCATCACTTAACAAGCGAGCACCAGACCCTAAACCGGATAGACTGCACCCACACCCTGAACCTAGAGAGGTCAGTCGCCCACGCCGGGAGCACTGCATGCAAATGCATGGGCGGCCGAAAGCGATCACACCGCAACGAGTCAACAATATGATACACTCTAGACTATAGTATACTGTAGTATGTTATAGCACACTACAAAGTACTTATCGTATGATATAAAGTACTTTTGCATGCTATAACAAATTTTTGTGTACAACACACTATGAAACATAAGATATTTGTGTATGGAATATAAATATGAATATACATATAAACATAAAACTGAATATGGCAATAATTATACATGTTTGAGCGATATAACAAAACATAACAATGCAACTGCCATGTGGTAAAAGGTGATGTAATACTATACAGCAGAACATGACATATTATAAAATAACGTAATAAGATAACATAACTCAACATAGCAACATAACACGATGTAGCGCAGGATAACATACCATACCATAACGTGATGTACCATAGCAGTATCATAGCAAAACATTATTAACATTAGCAGTAGCGTTAGCACTAACATAACACACAATAGCATACGATATGATATGATATAGCGTAATACGGTATCGTGCCGGTTCTCTGCCGCGGAATGCAGTAAGGCCCCGAACCCATGGGCGCCATGTTGTCCGTGCTGCCGGACCTCAGTCGGCGAAGTTTCGGGTCCTCGGGTCTTCGGGCGCTGGTGGTTTGGAGGCTCCGGTTCGAGACCAGGGCTAGGGCCCAGGGGGCCTGGGGTGGAGCCTCATGGGCTGCGGCAACTCAGATCCGAGAGAGCTAGGGGTGCGGAGTGGGTTGCGGGTCAGGATCCTGGGTTTAGGGTGTGAGCTTAGGGAGGGTTTTGGGTACCCTTCTTGCGAGGGATGTCACCTCAGGCCCGCGCTGATAGTCGGCACGGGATGAAATCAAGTTTCTCTTGCGAGGATTAAACTATTTACCCCCAACCAAGACCCTTGAGACAAAATGCTGCGGCTCGTCAGGACACAGACGTGGTGCTTCGTGCGCAAGCACGGGACAACCAAGAAGCACAAAAGCACCAGTGCCTGAACATTGCTTTTGCAGTCTGTTGCAATCAGCTACAGGCCTACCTCTTGCCGTGTCAGGATGGCAACATGAGCCGCCCTGCAGCGGAGAACCCACCACGATCTTGAATCTCTCTGGCCTCGATCACAACATTTCCACGAAGGCGTCGGTTCTCGCAGGAGGAGCTCGGAGGCTCGAGTGATCTCGAGTGACTCGAGTGCCACAGCCACCATCTCACATCATTGAAGTACGCCACTCCGTCGCTCACGTTGTCGACGACGTCGCCTCTGAGACCGAGACACCCAGCTCCTCGATGAGGGCCTCAGCCGGTGCCTCCCCCATGGCAAACCGCAAGTACCGAAGCATCCGACTCGTGGGCAGGATCTTTCTTTCACAGATCATCTCCCGGAAGAGTCGCTCGGCCTTGTGGCTTCGGTACTGTGGCTTCCATGAGTAGGCCAGCAGAAGGCAGGAGAACTCCTCGCTCCCCAGCGTATAGCCGGCCTCCTCAGAGGCGTGGATGAGATCTTCGGCCTTGGACACCTCGCCTGCAGAAGTGCAGAGAAACTCTCTCTTTCTTTATCATGTCAGGATTCACGCATGAGATGCCGGATTATATTGGGGCTCCCCTCAATTTCGAAACTCACACCTTCCACAGCGTATGCGTGTGCCACGGACAAGAACGTGGCTGCGTTGGCCGGCACGCGGCGTCTCTGCATGTCTGCATAGAGACGCTTCACTTGCCACGGGTCTGAGTGCACGACGTAAGCACGCAAGACCTTACAGGCTGAATTTCTCACCGACAGGTTACACTGGCGGTTTTGAGAGGGTCTAGCAAAGAAATGCAAGTTTGAAAGGCTGCCTACTCATCGCCAAGGAGACTGCATTGAACATACCGGTGTCCACGTTGACGCGTGCGGAGAGGGCAGTGGAAAACCAGCGCTCCGCTTCCTTGGCGCTCTTGTGCCCATGGGCCTTAATCAGGGCCAAGTAACTGTAGCCGTCCGGACGGAGCTGCGCCGTCAGCATTTCCTGCAACACCGACTCTGCTTCTTGTTCGTAGCCAGCTGTCCCACAAGCACCAAGAAAGCTGTTGAAAGACAGAATGTTTGGGGTTAGGCCTTCCGAATAGATTCGGTGATACCACTTTTTGGCACTTGCCACATCTGCCGCTGCGGCACAGCATTTGATGAGGCTGTTGAGCATTGGCAAGGTGGGCTCAACGCCGCTCTCGCGCGCTTGCGTAAAGAAGGCCTCTGCCTGCGCCACGTCTTTTCCCTGGGACGCACCATCGATGAGGATGCCGAAGGTTTCAGAGTCTGCGCGAAAGCCAAAGCCAACCGACGACATCTCCTTTAAGAGTGCTCCAATTTCATCGTGACGGTTGCATCTTGACCAGACCTGAAGCATTGCGCGAAGCGTCCGTCGGGAAGGGACCAGCCCATCTGATCGGTGCTGTTGGAGGACCTCTTCCCAGAGGCTCCTGATTGCTGCCACTTCCCGCTCACTCAGATCATTTTGCTTCCGAAGCACGTGCAGCAGCGATGAAAGTCGAGTCTCCGCTGCTTGTTCTGCCGTGTCGTCGCCGTCGTCCTTCGATCCCTCCTGCTGCGCAGCGACCCGAGCCAGCTCAGAGGCACCAGCATCCATTAAGCTACTTATGACCTCAGGGTGGCATGCGGCGGCGGCATATCCTGTCAAGGAAAGCCTTCTCAACCACATCTCGGCCCGAACGACATCACGTGCCTCTGCACTCGCTGCCACGACCAGGGCAAAGGACAACGTGTCCGGCGCAACTTCGCTTTTCACTACACGTTGCAGGATGCGCTCCGCACCATGGAAGTCTCCCGCTGCAGAGCACACTCCCAACATGTGATTGAATCTCGTGAGCTTCTCGCTTGCCACACGATTTCGTCGAAGCTCGACTGTCGAAATCAAGCGCAGGTGACGTTGTGACTGACCGAGAATACTCAAACAACCAGATCCAAAAAGCATTGCTGGGCACAGATTCAAGCCAGCTCCATTCTGGGCGCGATGTGCTGCAGCACTGATTCAGCCATGGTCAGCATCCCAATCTCAGAAGGAATGAGACATTGCTGCTATGTCGGACTACATCAACATGTCAGCCTACGGCTTAGGGGACACACTCACTGGCAAGTCGACACCGAGGATGCTGTGATTCTACAAAACACAGCATGCATTTTGAAGATCATGGAGTAATTAATCCATAACCCACTTAATTAAATTGGCATACATACCGTGGGGCAAGCGCTGCATGACGCAACATCCATGCGGATGTTACCTGGAGTCACACACCCGCGGAAAACCCACATAAGTCGCATGACCCAGAAAGAGCGCTCTTTTCTCTGTGCAGGCAGAGGCCTCCGGCAGTTTGGAGCTAGGCCCTCGGGACCCGGCGACAAGTCGAAACTCGCCGGCATGCGTCATGCACATGCGCGGGCCGAAACTGCTCATTTCATCGCCTTCATCGCCTGGGATGCAGATGCCGCTGCTTCTGTGCCTCCATGTCAGCAGCGATTGCTAGCTGCAGCAACCACTAAACAACGATGCCAACATACAAAGCTGGCAGGCCCAAAGCAGAATCAAAGTGCAAGTCAGCGGCATCCCAGATGAAGACGAAAGGCTCTTCTTGGGTCGGAACCTCCTGCGCACTGTGCACTGGAAACCGCGAGCGAAAAAAATCAGGGGGTAGAACAAAAACATAATAGATTAGTAGGTAGAGGCAAAATTGGGAGGGTCGAGCACCAATGAGTAGGCAGCACCAAGTAAAGGGCTTAGCTTTCTAGATTCTGAATCCAGATATGCTTGAGGCGATTGGTCCTGTTTCAGCGTCCTGACCTCGGGGGCTTTCTCCGTGCTCTCGGGACAAGCTGGACAACGGCAGCAAATGCACAGCGATCTTTTGACACTCGCTTCTTCACGAGCTCCAAGAGCACGCCTGGACGTCGGCACCACAAGAAGCGACCGTGAATCAATGGATGATCCTGTGGCACTTTTACGCAAGAGCCCGGAGCCATACCCTGAGAACGGTACGCATCCTTAAAAAGAGGGACGAGAAGCCAAACCTTCGACAGCTTCAAAAAGTCTGTCGGAGCTCGCCATCTTCGTCATCTCAGTCCTCCTGATGCCTGTTTGGATCATGGATGAACTTCCAGTGCAGCTGCTTCGCCTTCTCAGAGTCGAACTTCTGTCGGCATTCTGGGCATTGGAAGGTGCCCGTCATCTTGATGCCCACGTTCGTCGTGGTTCCGTCGCCAGACTTCGCAGCATCGCTAATCTCCATCGTCTCCGGCATGATGCCTAGAAAAGCCTCCAGCAGGCAGCCACACAGTATGCCCAGAGTCCCTAAATGGCTTGAGCCGCCAGGCAGCAGGTTCTTGGGGTGTGGGAGTTTGGCGGAGACTGAGAACCCTAAACCCTAAACCTTAAACCCTAAACCCTAAACCCACTTGTTTCGCAGCTTTCTTCAAGAGCTCTGCCTCGAACCCACCACGACCAGGATCTGCTCATGTCAAAGCAAAACTTCCGGTTAGGAGCTTGGGTTTAGGGTTTAGGGTTTAGGGTTTAGGGTTTAGGGTTTAGGGGCCCACCACGACCAGGATGTAGGACAGGCAACTCACTTGTAAACGCCGTGCTCTTAAAGTAGCATTGCCAGCATGACAGCCCCAAAGTGCGTTCTCTTCAGTTGACGAACTCACCGAAATTCGACTGCACGAACACCCCCCCTCCCTCAGATGCAACCTCAAAGACTTGCCTGCCGCCAACAGCCCAGCAGTCCTGAACCCATGGAGGGCCATGAAGTGGAGAGACCAGCGTCTGCAGGGCAGGCTTGATGGGTCTTTGGAGTCATCGAGTGTAGGGCGGGTGGTGGAGTGAATGGTTCTGGGTCTGACAATCATTTGCTGTGCCTGGCTCTTGCAAGCACGACAACTATAAGACGATGTATGCAGACTGAAAAAGCTTGCAGGCCAAAAAACAGTCTGGGATGACCTGAAGACCAGTCGCACTGCAGACATCATGTCAAATATTTTGGATCAGCACCTGTGCTAACAGCAAACAAGCCAAGCAGGCGGACACATACAAGGCCAAATTCTGCCAATGCAAACAAAACATCTGACAGCATCTTTTAGAACAGGTCCCGAAGAGCCCAAAGCATCCCTGAGCCCCACAACGCCTTCATCACCTTCCGCGCTTTCATGGGAGCCATGGCAGGTGCAGGGAGCGTTCCGGAGCGAAGGGTGGCGTGAGAGATCTTGGAGGCGACTGCGGCAACCCGAATCAACCCGACAGCTGGCGGTTGGGAGTTGCAACCGGCAACCGCCAGACTGGTGGAAAAGCGACACACAACGAAGCCCTGGACCGCGTCGCCTCATGCCTCATGCTGATGCGACGTGCGTACGCCAGCTCGGACCCAAGACCACAAAGCGACAAGAACCGACAGAAGTCGCATGACCCAGAAAGAGCGCTCTTTTCGCTGTACAGGCAGAGGCCCTCCGGCAATTTGGAGCCAGGCCCTAGGGACCCGGCGACGAGTCGAAACTCGCCGGCATGCGTCATGCGCATGTGCGGGCCGAAACTGT